TACTTTCAGGTTTCTGCTGCCGTTGATTAAATAACAGCCTAGGCCTAACCAAACCTACTTCCAACTTTTCGGAAGATTCAGAATATAACGTTTTTTACAAACCCAATTTTCGGTTCCGTTTCCTTTCGTGACAGATATTCAAAACGAACGTGAGCAAACATTATTGATGGGTTCTGACGAACATTGGCAGCCATGGAGTCTCTAATGGACTCTCTGGGTGGCCAATGTTTTACTATGCACTGATTGCTCCAAATCAGAGAATATAGCCAGCCAGCGGTGTCCAGTTCATGCTTGAAGTTTATCACATTCGTTGTTGTGGTCCCTGTTTCTGGGAGTTTGTTTCAGCTGTTTACCACACGATTTGTTAGAAACTGTGCTCGAACTTTTGCTCTTTTGCCAATTTCAATGAGTGCTCACCTAATGCCACGTTGCCATTATCAGTGAACATTAGATTACCCTAATCAGTTATGCCTTTCTATGCCCTTAAAGCTTCGATCAGATCACCCTCAGGGCGTCTCTTCTTCAGGGAGTATAAGTTCAGCATAGCCAGACGAGTTGGGCAATCACATGCCCCTGAGGTGGGGGGAGCACCTTGTGAACCTACGTTGGACCGCCTACAGGACCTTCTTTTCCCGATTCAGTTATGAAGACCACGCAGTATTCCAAGTGTGGTCTCACAAACACTTTATAAAGGGGTACCAACACATCTGGATCCCGAGAGACAACAGGTCTCAGCAGTTGGTACAGAGCGTTGTTTCCCTTACGTGCCGCCAGTAGGCACTGCTTCTCTGAGTTGAAACCACTGGTGACCTGAATTCTCAGGTTTCTCATTTCGTCACTCCTTTAGAGTTCCGCTGGATTATCATTGGTAATCTACCGTACCGGGCCTGTGCTTTCGGTCTGTATCAGCTGTCTGTACCTGGCCACGTTGAGCGGTAGCTCCTCGTCTTCAGTCCAGCGCATAAGGGTATCCAAGTCCCTTTTTATGGACTGGTTTGAGGGAAACCAGTTTCTGGTCGTCAGAGAACATGAATACTGGATTCTCTAACCTCGCACGTAAGTCGTTCACATAGGCTAGGAATAGGAGAGGGACTAAAACTGACCCCTGTAGGACTCCACTTGCCATCGTGCCTTCCATCGATTTGAATCCTTCTATATTAACATGGAAAGACCTTCCTCTCAGGAAGTCTTCCGTCCATCCAAGCAGTTTCGGGTGAATTTTGAAGTTCTAAATTTCTGGAGCAGTAACCTGTGGTTTACAGAGTCAAAGGCCTTATGG